AATGGGGGTTAAAAATAATTTCAATTTTTTTAGAAACTACATATATTATTTTTAAACCTTCCAACAAATACAGTTCACCACTAACAAAAAATGAAGCTCAGACAGTTTAACAAACCAAGCTGAGATGACCCATGTAGTAAGATGGTAACTGGAGAAGCTAGAAAGTCAAAGCCTCCTCTTTGGACCCCGGATCCCATGCCTCCTCCCTCTGTGCCAGGCTATTTTCTCGTTACCACCTATCTCTGATGTCCAGCCTGCCAGGCCCCAGGTAGTTACAACAGCCCTCGCTGCTCCACCAGATTTCCTGGGGACTATGCTCCTACTCACAGAACAGTCCTCAGTGGTCTGTGGCTGAGGACACAGACCCCTCTCCCTCTCCCTCCCAGCCCCCCAAGTTTTTTGGAAGCTATCTATTCCCATTTCCACTAGAACTGGCTCCTAGGGTTCTTGATGCTCCTGTTGTCCCCTTTCCTAGACTCATACTACTTCACAGGGCTTTGAGAGCAAGGCACAGACACAGTCTCTGCTTCTGCTAAAATGCCCCTTGGGCCCTGGCCAGGTAACTCGGTTGGCTGAAGCATCATCTGGACGCACCAAGGTTGTGTGTTCGACCCCAGGTCAAAGCACATAAGGGTAACAACCAGTGAATGCATGAATAAGTGGAACAACAAATTGATATTTCTCTCCTTCCCTTCCTCCCTCTCTCTCTCTCTAAAATCAATAAAGAAAAGAGAAAATAAATAAACAAAATGCCCCTTGGAAGTTACAGTTGTTTTCAGTCTTGGGCAGAGGAAGGTCCCACATCTTACCTATTTTAATTGGACAAACCAACACTTTACAGTTCTCTCCAGGTACATGAGTTCACCTGACTGTGTGGCGACACGCTCATTGGCCTCAAATGATCTTCCCCTGAGCCCTCGAGCCCTTGCTCACACTTGACCTTCAGGCAGGTACATTTCCTTCAGGAGGGGACCCTTCTGGGCGCTTACAGTTCCACCCTCCCGCAGCCTTGGACGCTGTATGCAGATGCTGCTGACCCTGCCCATCACCTTGTAGAGGTTGATATCACCAGTCCCACCTGCTCTCCTTTGTTGCTGAGGTTCTACAGGCACTTGGGCTATTCTTAGAAATGCCCTATTAAAGCTGTAGGAGTCTGAGAGTTTTCAGAGCTAAGCTGGAGAAATAAGGACTTGCCTTATCACAACAGGAACTTTTCCTGGAAGAAAAAACAGGCATATCTCTGTGGTTATGTAGTTTCAAGGTGACCTACAGCGGGACAGTACCTTGACCATAGTTAATTATTGCTTATTGAAAACAGCTGTTCTCAAAGGCTTCAGCCTATCAGAAAAAACTGATTAAACTTTATATATATATATATATATTTGTTTAAATATTTTTTAAATTTTTGCAAGGAGAGAGAATATAAGTCAACGACCCTTTAGGACAAGGAATGTGTGTAGGAAAAAGCAACTAATGTCACCGAGATGTGCTGCGAATAGAATCCCAGAAGACCTGGGGAGGAATCACACTCCCTCAAGAGTAAATCTCGCAGGCGTACTGGGAAAGCAGTGAGGGAAGGGCTCTGAGCTGAAGCCAATTAGTGCTCAGTGAACAAATGGGAACATTTTGTTTTCCACCCAGCTTCAGGCCTGCCTTCCACGAAGCTTGGAGGATGAGTTCCTGAGGAAAAAAAATAAAAGTTCAAATTCCCATGGCAATTCAATTTGCAACGTGGATCCTATTTGATCTGTGGAAGAACAGCAGGTGTTTTGTTTTGAGTCAGAGCTTCTGATGGCAATTCCAGAAAAAATGCGCTGAATCACGCCTCCCTAAGGATAAAAGGTTTTGTCAAGGACATGCTTGGGGGAGGGCTGGAGCTGTGACAGTTGTGCAGGTTAGGGGTAACAGAAGGCTCATTCCTTTTTCTAAATGAGGCCCTTCAATGCAAACATTTACCCTGCACCTGTGCCCAGGAACACTTGATAACTCCCTCAGGTATCGAGGAGCCCACATTAAAGACTAATAGCAAAAATGCTAATAGCTAATATTTACTGAGCATGTGCCAGGCATATATGTGGGTTATCTTATTTAACTCCCACAATGCCCTTGTGACATGTTTTACAAATGAGGACATGGAGGCTTTGACGGGCTAATTTGCTCACAATCGCCCAAACAGGGCTACAATTTGAACCCAGGAATCACAGCCTTCACAAGTATGCATACTGCATCTCCAAATATTAACCTTGAATTCATAGATTTCTGATCATTTTACCCGGTTGTGGTTAAACTCCTTATTTAAAGAGGGACATTATTAACTGACATCCTTCAGACACAACTGACTGTAGAGCAAAATGCCCCAAGATTGCAGTTTATGAAGGAGAAATAGTTTGGCACTGCTAATGTATATTGTGTATTTTACCTGTTTAATGTAATACTCCTTCTAAGCAAATGAAAAAAATGAAACATTCTTTCCTTAAAGTTAGAGCTTTCCTTTATTTCCTGGGATGTCCTCAGTTAAAATACTCCTATATTGATTGCTAGAAGTTGAGGCTCTCTGAGGCCTCAGGACTTCCCACCCAGCACAACAGGACTGACATACCATTCGGTCATGACCTCCCCGTGCTAGAACCGCTGGTTCTTGGGAATTGTTCCTTGAGGGGCCTTTAAAAGTTGGTGGCTGAAACTTATCCCCTGATGACATGGTCACCCTAGAGAAAATTAGGTCACCAACTGGCTGCTAGGAGGAAAGAGAGAGAGAGAAAGAGAGAGAGACTGAAAGGAGTGAGGAAGTATTGAAGTCAGGGAAGAGGGCCCCTAACCAGGTTTCTTAGTTCACATCTTTCCCCAGCTCAGCCCCAGGCACTTGGAATATCTAGAAATGCCCTTTGAGTCACAAAAGAAGGATGGTAGTCTAATCAATATAATTTCATTGTGTTTTTAAAAGGCGAATTCTTAAGAAATAAGTAAGTTATAAATAATTATTTATATAAACATGACATCTCTATATACTAAAGGCTTGGCCTTAGCAGCAACCCTCCCAGCTAGGCCCTATATCCTAGCCATGTCAGAAATCAAACTTTTCTCATTTTGCTTTTGGAAATTACTTATGTTCTTCATGCCATGACAATTATGCTTCGAACCATACAAGGAGGATCATAACCCCCTCTCACAGGGCTGTTAGTCGGGATAAGTAATATAATGGGCTTGGATTTAAGAATTCCATTAATGACTGAAAAGATCATCATTAAGAATTTTTTTTTAATTTTGAGAGTACGTTTATTAAAGAGGGGATGGTGAAACAAGGACGAGCTCCTATCTAGGATAGAAGAAGCCATAGGAGAGCACCTAGGTGGGGCTGCTTTGGCTCTCTAGAAACGTGGGAAAGAAGTGAGCCAAGGCGGGGCTGCTGTTGGCTCACTGGAAAGTCAGAGAAAAGGGGGCCTTGGAGACAGGTTCAGGGGGTTAGCCCAGAACCAGTTGTTGCTGTCCATTGGTCCCTTGGTTGCAAGTCTCGTGAGGAGCCTTAGAGTTTAGGAGAAAGAAAATTCACCCAAAAAGATTTGAGTGGGCATGCCCCAAGAGGGTGTACCAAGAATCTTGAGGAGGAATCTGTCCACTTTTACTTAAAAGGATTCTGTTGGACTATTACCTTTTTGGAAGGCAATGGTCAAAATAATGTAGCAAATTGACTTTTGCATATACTGATGTCAAATCATCAAATTCTGGAGAGTGAAGTAGGTGGCAGATTAATTTATGTTTTTACATTCAAGTGAGGTGTTCCTGTAGGTGGTTTGGACGTGGGGAGGGGCTGGCTAAGAAGAGAGAAAGCAACCAAAGTGATGCAAAACAAACAAAAATACTTTATTGTATCTTTAAATCCATTCCCTAGACAATGGGTAATGCACACACTGGATGACATCAGTAGACAGAAGAGATGCATTTGGACAATTATCAACATTGATGAATGTGGGGATGTCATAAAAGTTAAACCTTATCAGGTTCTTGGATTTCCTGAATACGATATTGGCAAAAAAGAAATTTCAACACAAAAACATTTCATTTAATTTTTTTTTTAATGTCACTCATTTTCTCTACCAACCTCGACAGTGACTAAAAAATGAGGTTCAGAAAACTTTCCAGAAGTCCGAGTATGGAGCAGAAGTCCAAGGCACTTTGGAGCCCCATTATTTCCTTATTGAGTAGGATTAACTCAGACACAAAACTCCCCGTACTCCAGGTTTATTGCATAGAAAAGCACTGTTTAGCCACCTCGGTGAGGTGTTGTGGGGATTCATGGTTATAAAGTGCTTCAGGTGCCTTAGGAGAAAGGCAGCATAGAAGTATGAAATAATCTCACATACTTCAAAAGAAATGAAAAAACAATTTTGGCACAATAGGAAGAATGCCTATTATTTAAAGAACCACACTTGGCTATTTAGAAAAACCCATCGCCTCAATGGTTTCTTGTTTGTTTGTTTTAGTTAAGAGAATAAATGTTTCTGTGTTGCCAGTTTTATAACAGTCATTCTCAACCCAGGCTATGTTATCAGAATCCCTTGAAGAGTCTGTCAAAAATATAGATCCTTGCTCAGCAGTTGAGCATTGACTCATAATCCAGTTCACTTCCCAGTCAGGGCCCATGCCCGGGTTTTGGGCTTGATCCCAGAGGGGGGCATGAAGGAGGCAGCCGATCTATGACTCTCTCATCATTGATGTTTCTATCTCTCTCCCTTCCTCTCTCTGAAATCAATAAAGACATACACACACACACATATATATGTGTGTGTGTGTGTGTGTGTGTGTGTGTATATGTATATATG